GTCTTACTATTGGATAATTTGAGTTTGTCTTACTATTGGATAATTTGGGTTTGTGGTTTTTGCCTTTATAAGCTGTAATGTACGTAATAAACTTGCAATCTTCCTGTATCCGACCTGTGTGCCTGGTTACTTTGATTGCCCGATCGATCGAGCCCGTGCCACACCCAGACGCCGCGCGGCATATAAGAAATAAGAATATAAGGATTCCAGGAAAGAGGGAATTCCTAACAGCTGGTACCAGAAGTGGGGTCCCGCTAATCCAGGTGAGTAATATCATTTCAATATACCTTTGATATATTATGATATTGCCTTCTCTGGATACGGTGACGTCTCACGCAAAGTGAAACTGAAAGTAGTTTAGTGTCTTGTAAAGGAGGGGTTCTGTCTCGCTCCTAGAATAGTGTAGTTTAGTGTTTTATGATGGAGGGGTTCTGTTCTCGCTCCAATAGTGAGGTTTAGAGGTACATAAAGGAGGGGTTCTGTCTCGCTCCTAGAATAGTGTAGTTTAGTGTTTTATGATGGAGGCTTCTGTTCTCGCTCCAATAGTGTAGTTTAGAGTTACATAAAGGCGGGGTTCTGTCTCGCGCCGTAAATAGAGGTTTTTATTTTTAACTGCGGGTAGGGTCAGACTCGTTCTCCGCAGGTTGATCAGATCTGTGACAGTTTAGACTGTACAGACTGTACAGGAAACATTGAGGGGTTCTGTTCTCGCTCAATAAAGGAAAAGTAATAAAAGAGGCAGGGAAATACGAAACGGAGCTAAGTTCCGTTTTTAGGGAACTGTCTGTGGTGTGCCGGTGCTAATGGTATAATAAAAAAAAAGCAACATTGTATTGTGGATAATTGTTTGTTAAATGTTTGAAGTGTGAATTAGGCGTATTGCAAGAGTAACGTGTGACTGGTGTCCATATCCTTGTCTGCATCCTCATGTTTTTACTCATATTGTATATAGGATCTATATAATTACCCCGTGTTATTGAATAATGCAAATGAATTGTGTTACTTGTTGATTTCATTGTGTATGTGTATATTGATCTGATCTATTGTATTCATTTTCTATCGAATTGTTTTCTAATTGATAAGTAGATATGGGAAATAAGTTGGGCAAGGAGGAGTCTGAAGGTGAGCAGACAAAAAACCATGTCCTTACATGTATATAGCAGGCACCTGTGGGGAATATTAGGTGGACCCATTTTGGGAATTGGTGAGGAAAAGAGCAAGCCAACTTGAAATAAGTTGTTTGGCCCTGGCGGGGGTCCTGGCTCAGAGCAACAGTGGGAGGAGGTAGAGAAAATTTGTGGGGTACATCCGAAACATAATTACCCCCCCGGTGTCTGGGATGAAAATTATATGATAAAATGTTTTAAAAATGGGATAAGGCACTGAAGGAATATAGAACTAAATTTCCCTGACTTCCCACATATATGTGAAAAAGACGGTACCTCCAGCCTATGACAATAGTGTCCTCATACCTGACCTACCACCCCCACCTGCTCTGACTGCACCCCCGCCCTATGTATTATACTTGGCGGAGAAGGAGACAGACCATGAGAAGCCTAAAACAAAAATGATCCGTTGACTATTTATCCGGATCTGGGTTCACTGACAACTGCAGTGGTTATCGGGACAGCAGTAGAGAAAGACGGACAGAGAAAGGTGGATGAGGAAGAGTATCAAAGGTGGAGAGAGAGAAGGAGAGGGAACAAACAGAAGATAAAGAAAGGGAAGCCGAGCACCAGAAAGCATTAGATGAATCTAGCAGAAAGGATACCATATACCATATTTTCTAGACGCTATATCTTTCACACAAACCAATGAATATACATGTATTGGGATTTTTTTTTACCAAGGACATGTAGCAGAATACATTTTGGCCTAAATTGTAGTTTATTGGATATTTTTTAGAACACAAAAAATAAAAATCCCATTGGTGATCAAATACCACCAAAAGAAACTCTATTTGTGTGAAAAGAGGACATCAATTTCGTTTGGGTACAGCATTGCATGACCGCGCAATTATCAGTTGAAATAGCGCAGTGCCAAATAGCAATAAAATGGCTTGGTCAGGAGGGGAGTAAATCTACCGGAAGGCAAGTGGTTAATCATCTGGCTCTCTATAGTTCTTAATATCATTTTTATAGATTGCTTAATATATGGAAACTCAACATTTATCTTAATAATTCAGTACAGGGCACAGGCCAGGTATTCATAGACTCTGGGTGATAGGCTTGTACCTTCAGGTGATTGGACACTGGCTAAGCTTTCAAAAGGTATGCCCACCCTATAACCCTAACTCGGCTCCGGGAGTCATTTTTTCCTAGTGTCTCAGGGTGATGTACCTCTTCTCCCTTGCAAAGAAAGCACTCTTATCGTAAAGAATATGTAAACCCAACATTTCATATTTCTGATGTACCATTTACTTGTATGAAAAAGTACCCGTTCTCTTTGCAGTGCTTCCTTTAAGTGAAATCCCTGGTGTTCCTGACAGTCCCTCTGCTTCCCTATTAAAAAACTGAGCACACTAGGCATGAGAGCACAGCATGGTCAGTTCTCTAGCTGTGCTGAGAACTCAGTCTGCTCTCCTCCAATGATCAGGATTGTGCTCACACACCCTAGCTTTAAACAGCCATTCACTAGGAAGATCAGTGTGCTGCTCTTCCTCCAACCTCAGATCTCTGTTCTCAGATAAAGAGCTTAGAGGTTGTATGATCACTTATAGGACAGGGAAAAAAGGTATTTGTTTTTTTTAACTATGCTCAAATGCTTTACCTTTCATTTCTATTTTTAACTGAATAGGTTGTAGGGATGCTCCGATATGTCGGTAGCGGAAATGTATCAGCCAAAAATATCTGCATTCTGCTGATAGGAAAAAAGGTGCCGATAAAGTGTCCTTTTTTGTATAGGTCATGTGACTCAAAAACCGCAACACGTGCGTTTTTTATGGGTTTGCAAAGCATTTCAGGCCTGGTTCACATCAATGCGGTTTTGCATGTGCACTTGACACTTTTTTTTTTTTAAAGCTTTTTGCGTATTTTTAAAAAAAATTTTGCCAACATATTCCTGATATGTGTCTGCCGTACCATGTACTTGTATGAAAAAATATCCTGTTCTCTTTGTATTGCTTCCTTTGTGTGAACAGTCCCTCTCCTTATTAAAAACAGACCACTAGGCATGAGAGGAAAGCGTGGTCAGTTCTCTAGCTGTGCTCCAGTGATCAAAGGTGTGCTTATACGCCCCCCCCCCCTTTCTCCTCCCATGGCTCCTTATGTAGCTGAGCAGAGGGAATGTGATCTCAAATTAAAAAAAAAAAAAAAAAAAAAAAAAGGGAACAAAAGGTGTTTTTTTTTTTCTTTATATCTAGCCTTTCATTTGTCTTTTAAACTGAATGGGTTGTTTTACAAAGTAAGGGTTTACAATCACTTTAAGGGTATATGGAAAGCACTTCCTCCTGTTACCCTAATAGGATTTTTGTACTTCCCATAAAATCCTTTCTTGGAGTCTGAGGGACACAGGAAGTCATGTACTATTGGTTTATACTGCTGCCTACAGGACGACAGGCAAATAAAATAAATTGTAACTAAGCCCAGTGTAGCCGTACTTCCATCATACATCAGTTTTGCAGTAAACACTACCAAGAGCACAATAACAAAAACACAGATGAGTGGGGGAACAGTGGGCTCTAGGAAGAATTTTACAGTAGGTGCAAAAATCCTATTCTCCTTCTTGTCTACTTTTTCAACTGATTTTCAAGGTTTAATACGGTTTTATAAAGTGTTGCTAAAGACATTTTTAAAAAATTAAAATAAACACGTTATACTCACCTGCTCTGTGCAGTGGTATTGCACAGAGTGGCCCTAATCCTCCTCTTCTCAGGTCCCCTGCCAGCAATCCTGGCTCCTCTCTCGTGTACCCCCATAGCAAGCCGTTTGCTATGGGGACTAAAACTGCGTGCTTGCTCCCGACCTGTGTGTCTAGAGAGAAGCACTCCATAGACACACAAAACAGGACTTAGACCCGCCCCTACTTCCCCTTCACCACACTTGACTGACAGCAGCAAGAGCCAATGACTCCCTATGTGAATAGCAAACAAGGGGAGAGAAGAGATGCAGCTGTGCACAGCGCTAATCTTTTCTCCTCTCTCTTCCCCTTTACACAGGGGAGGGGGAGCACAGGGAACTTAAAAATGCTATTTTACCTTAATGCAAGCAATGCAAAAAAAAAAGTTGTTTTTAGGTTTAGTATCACTTTAAGGAAAAAGATGTCCATCATGCTAGGAAAAATTCTTAACACAAAGCAAACACAGAATTCCATAGTAAAATGGGTCAATTTTATACCTATATCTAAAAACTTTGTTTTATTAGTAAATGATAAAGGATTCATAAAGTAGCATGGGATAATTAAGGAGACAGCACAGCCATACCAATCTGGTTAGGTTTTTCTGGAAAACTGCAGACTGAGCCTGTTAATACCAGATGGGTCATTCAGTTGTGTAACTTTTGGCTTGAACTATGGCATATGTAATAACAGGCTTATTGCAACAGACTGTTCAGCAGGTTCTCGGAGGAATAATAAAAGACTGAATCCCCACAAAATGTTAATATGCAATATTTGTGTAAACATTTTAAAAGGTTTCATCCTTAATATATATTAAAACACAGAGCCAAAGGTATGCCCATGTAAAAAACTGCTAGAAAAGAAGAAAAAAAAAAAAAAAAAAGAAAAATTGTAAATTCCGTTTCCTACTGAAAATGTAATTTACTTTGATATTATGTTGATCATCGGGTAAAACTTTTTGAAAGTATTGTTTAAAATGACGTCTCGGAACATGCTTTTATGTTAAGGTTAAAAATACAGTCTCAGGAATATTACAGATACAGAACAAATCACTTTATTTCATTAGACAGTTTATTTAACAGGGAATGTATTACAGAAAAGAAGTCTTGTCATTCCGTTGTGATGGTTGCAGATTTATCCAGCCAGAGACACCAACTGAGACAGAATTAAGCAAAGGTAGAATTGTTCCAGCCCACATAAGCAGGATTTAAATCATAAAAATTGATGTAAACCCTAAAGGAAAAAGAAACCGCAAAATATTTAACACATTATTAAAAAATCATCAGTAACACAAAGTCAATTTATATGCAAGTGGTGAGCCTTTTACGATAATCTGCACCTTCAGGCGTTGGAGAAGTCTCTAACCCCTGGTTCACATATATGCGACCATGCGGACCGTGTTTTGCGTAGGCACGAGAGCCCATTCATTTGAATGGAATCCCGTGCCTTTGACACACAGGGAAGAAGTCCCTGCACTTCTGAAAATGCAGCCCGCACGTGAACCGAGGTTTCCAGTACGGTTGTGTTTTCCAGTGCGGGCGGCGTGCCATTAGAACTAATAGCACCCGCCGGCGGGTCCGCAATCCTCTGTGTGGGTGCTGCGGCTGCACAGATTTTCAGGATAGACCTGAAGACAGACATTCTGTGCCATCTTCATTCATACACTTTGAAGGAAGAGATCCTACAACAGGCATGGTGTACAGGCACTATGAATTTCTACGGAACACAGATTTATTTGCCTATTTGCTGTTCAATATTTACAGGATATGCAGAACCATGAAACCTCTCCTTGAAAAACTGGGCATCTCGTACAAAATGGCGTCATCCAATCCACCTAATTGCAAGCAAAGGCAATCTTATTTTCCAGCTGCATCACCCCTCAAAAATGCCTGACTTTTTATCTTTTTGCAGAAATGGACCCAGTGCCAGTCCCCAACTGGCTCTACTCTACCCCTCTACTGGATATGCCTGATGTCAACTGCTGGGGAATACCTCAGAGTTCAACATAAGCAACAAAGACGTCAACTAGTGATGCACCAATATATTAGATGTGGAAAATTATTGTCCGAAAATACGGTTGTTTGATAAAATAAAAAAAAAGTGTGCCAATAATGTTAATTGGCTTCAATGCAAAATTGCGTCCCACTGACTGCAATGCAAAATCGTGTCCCACTGACTTTATTGTACAATCACTCCCTATTGTCTTCAATGCAAAACCGCCTCTATTTAAGTTTTTTAATTTTATACATATTTAATTTTATTTTGTGTTACTTTCAATAAAAGTTATTTTACAGTACTGGATTGCATTTTTTACAATCAGTCATTTAAAAATCATGAAATTAAAAAGTTGAATATATATAATTTTTTTTTTCTTAAACTGTTCATTTCGGTTTTTGGCCAAGTGCATCCTGAATTTTTGGGTTCGGTCCATAATTTTCATTTTGGCGCACAACTAATGCCAACCAGAACTTGAGATAATGAGCAGTGACCACATCTTTTTCCTTGTGAGTGAACTTACCTGTGTCCTATTTTCAATTGCCATGTCGTCTCCTCTTGGACCTGACCAGTAACTAATGGCCCAGGAATTCCCACTATTTTCTAATTCACATTCACCTCTTTGCCACAGCTGTGTGTCCAGGCAAGATTGCCTCACATCAAACAGGCACAAGTGGGTGGCTGGACCTGGCAGAACTTGTGTAAACGGACTCTTTATTATTTCAGTTGTACAAAGGGGGGGGGGGGGGACAGGGTCGGGGACAAGCCCTGGAAGCTGCAGATGTAAGAGCCAAGATTTCATTTCCAAAGAGTGGAAAAATACTTCTCACCATGCCAAAAAAAATGCAACCTCCTCCTTTATTAAACACATTGCTGAAACCAGTTCAAAACATTACCTGCAAGTACCGTTCACCAGGTGACAGAAGCTGTTCCCCTATCATGGTTTTAATGAACTCAGGGCTTGCCTGTGTTTCCAAAGGATACAGTGCTTGGATCATAGCATTATAATACAAAGAGAGACTAGCGCACCAATTGTTTTATATGTATTAAATGCAAATGTACATTAACAGTACACAGCACATGATTCAACTAGCATGCCTCTAATATACAGTATCTCGTAATATGGTAGAATATATCGAGTAATATATCGAGTAAGCGATGCATGTGAAAAAATACAAAGGACAGAGCAGTAAAACCCAAATGGGCATCTAGGAGGGAAATGAGGACTCAAAATAAAATTTCGGAGGCGATTCCTAAGTACTGGTGTGCTAGGAATACTTTTCATCAATCTTGGTTCATAGCATTAATCCTTTGGCTGTCAACAATGTATGTCATACAGTCAGGTCCATAAATATTGGGACATCGACACAATTCTAACATTTTTGGCTCTGTACACCACCACAATGGATTTGAAATGAAACGAACAAGATGTGCTTTAACTGCAGACTGTCAGCTTTAATTTGAGGGCATTTACATCCAAATCAGGTGAACGGTATAGGAATTACAACAGTTTGCATTTGTGCCTCCCACTTGTTAAGGGACCAAAAGTAATGGGACAATTGGCTTCTCAGCTGTTCCATGGCCAGGTGTGTGTTATTTCCTCATTATCCCAATTACAATGAGCAGATAAAAGGTCCAGAGTTCATTTCAAGTGTGCTATTTGCATTTGGAATCTGTTGCTGTCAACTCTCAAGATGAGATCCAAAGAGCTGTCACTATCAGTGAAGCAAGCCATCATTAGGCTGAAAAAAAAAACAAACCCATCAGAGAGATAGCAAAAACATTAGGCGTGGCCAAAACAACTTTTTGGAACATTCTTAAAAAGAAGGAACGCACCAGTAAGCTCAGCAACACCAAAAGACCCGGAAGACCACGGAAAACAACTGTGGTGGATGACCGAAGAATTCTTTCCCTGGTGAAGAAAACACCCTTCACAACAGTTGGCCAGATCAAGAACACTCTCCAGGAGGTAGGTGTATGTGTGTCAAAGTCAACAATCAAGAGAAAACTTCACCAGAGTGAATACAGAGGGTTCACCACAAGATGTAAACCATTGGTGAGCCTCAAAAACAGGAAGGCCAGATTAGAGTTTGCCAAACGACATCTAAAAAAGCCTTCACAGTTCTGGAACAACATCCTATGGACAGATGAGACCAAGATCAACTTGTACCAGTGTGATGGGAAGAGAAGAGTATGGAGAAGGAAAGGAACTGCTCATGATCCTAAGCATACCACCTCATCAGTGAAGCATGGTGGTGGTAGTGTCATGGCGTGTGGGCATGTATGGCTGCCAATGGAACTGGTTCTCTTGTATTTATTGATGATGTGACTGCTGACAAAAGCAGCAGGATGAATTCTGAAGTGTTTCGGGAATATTATCTGCTCATATTCAGCCAAATGCTTCAGAACTCATTGGACGCCGCTTCACAGTGCAGATGGACAATGACCCAAAGCATACTGCAAAAGCAACCAAAGAGTTTTTTAAGGGAAGAAGTGGAATGTTATGCAATGGCCAAGTCAATCACCTGACCTGAATCCGATTGAGCATGCATTTCACTTGCTGAAGACAAAACTGAAGGGAAAATGCCCCAAGAACAAGCAGGAACTGAAGACAGTTGCAGTAGAGGCCTGGCAGAGCATCACCAGGGATGAAACCCAGCGTCTGGTGATGTCTATGCGTTCCAGACTTCAGGCTGTAATTGACTGCAAAGGATTTGCAACCAAGTATTAAAAAGTGAAAGTTTGATTTATGATTATTATTCTGTCCCATTACTTTTGGTCCCTTAACAAGTGGGAGGCACATATGCAAACTGTTGTAATACCTACACCGTTCACCTGATTTGGATGTAAATACCCTCAAATTAAAGCTGACAGTCTGCAGTTAAAGCACATCTTGTTTGTTTCATTTCAAATCCATTGTGGTGGTGCATAGAGCCAAAAATGTTAGAATTGTGTCAATGTCCCAATATTTATGGACCTGACTGTATGTATTGCATGTAAATTTAAGAAGCCGACTGTCAGCTGTCAGGTAAAAGCAATCACAATGTTGAAACAAGGCTGTTCTAAGTATTCCCTTTCACACTTTTCCTGGCAGCTATGCAAAAGGAAGCAAGGGGGTGGGTGTTGGAGGGATGAAGGAGCTGGGCCAGCACAGAGTAATTAGATGCTCTCAGAATAAGAGGGATATGCTATTTAATTGACACTTTATGTAGTGTCAATTCCTGAGCAAGTTCAAAAGGCACATTGCAAGTGAATAAAACATTTATGGAAAAGAAAAACACTGCAAGTAAGCACCTAAAATACTTGATTTTTTGTTCCTTTTTCCTACAAATTTTTAAGGTGGTGACAGGGTCTCTTTAGGGTGACTAGTACTGCATAAAATGACCAGACGACTTACCTGTCATGGGAGATATGCAGACGACTGCTTAGTATACCACTTAGCAACTTGGTGTAAGTCTTGTTCTGTGGACCTCCAATCTTGCCAATACTTTTCAGAGAACAAAGAGCACAAGGCTCTGTGGAGCCACCAAAGCTCATTATTTGATCTGGCTGAATATGCACAGCAATGTACTGTAAAAGGAAACAAAAAACAAGCCAGGGCATAAAATGAAATGAAGGCTAAAAAAAAAAATCAAATCTTATATAGATAAACCAAAAAGGTAAAATGAAGAAGTATTTCCACCTCCACCCGGACTATTTATCACAACTAATAAGTATGGAAAACGTTCAGTTTCAAAAGGTTTTTCCCCATGCAATACTAAAAAGGCGAAATCTAAAGATTTGGCTTTCATGATATTGTTTGAAAAACTTGTGAAATTTACATTATGTGGTTACGAAGCTTCTACTTACTAACCACACACAAGTGAAACAACCTGCTTGGACTTTACCTGAGGGCCCATTCACACTAAAGCAATCCGTTGCAGTGTGTTAATGCACAACATGGCATGCTTTAAGGTGTACCGCAATAAAGCAGTCCTATTAACAAGAATGGGATGCTAATGCACCAAAACGAAAATTTTATATATATATATATATATATATATATATATATATATATATATATATATACAGTTGCAAGAAAAAGTATGTGAACCCCTTGGGATTACGTGGAGTTTTGCATGAATTGGGCATAAAATGTGCTCTGAACGTCATCTAAGTCACAACAATAGAAGAACACAGTCTGCTGAACGTAATACTACACAAAAATTAGATGTTGCCATGGTTTAATTGCACATAACATGTAAACATTCACAGTGCAGGGAGGAAAAAGTATGTGAAGCCCTAGCTTAATGACTTCTCCCAGAGCTAATTGGAGCCAGGAGTGAGCCAACCTTGACTGCAATCAGTTTGATGATATTGGATGTGTTGCTGACAGCTGTCCTGCCCTTAAAAAACACACACCTGTTTTGGGTTTACTGGTTTCAAGAAGCACTGTCTGATGTGAACCATGCCTTGCAGAAAAGAGCTCTCAGAAGACCTACGATCAAGAATTGTTGACTTGCATGAAGCTGGAAAGGGTTACAAAAGTATCTCCAAAAGCCTTGATGTTCATGTGTCCACGGTAAGACAGACTGTCTACAAATGGAGAAAGTTTAGCACTGTTGCTACTCTCCCTAGGCGGGGTCGTCCTGTAAAAATGACTGCAAGAGCGCAGCGCAGAATGCTGCATGAGGTAAAGAAGAATCCCAGAGTGTCAGCTAAAGACCTACAGAAATCTCTGGCACATGCTAACATTTTTGTTGACACATCTACAATAAGGAAAACATTAAACAAGAATGGAGTACATGGGAGGACACCACGGAGGAAGCCATTGCTGTCCAAAAAGAATATTGCAGCACGTTTGAAGTTTGCAAAAGAGCACCTGGATGTTCCACAGCACTACTGGCAAAATATACTGTGGACAGATGAAACCAAGATTGAGTTGTTTGGGAAGAACACACAACACTATGTGTGGAGAAAAAAAGGCCCAGTACACCAACATCAAAACCTCATCCCCACTCTGAAACATGGCGGAGGGAGCATCATGGTTTGGGGCTGCTTTGCTGCCTCAGGGCCTGGACGGATTGTTGTCATTGATGGGAAAATGAATTCCAGAGTTTATCAAGACATTTTGCAGGAAAACGTCTGCCCGCCAACTGAAGCTCCGCAGAGGATGGGTGATGCAACAGGACAATGACCCAAAGCATACAAGTCATTCAACAAAACAATGGCTGCAACAGCACAGAATACGCCTTCTGGAGTGGCCCAGTCAGAGTCCTGACCTCAACCCGATTGAAATGCTGTGGCATGACCTTAAGAGACTGATTCACACCAGACATCCCAAGAATATTGCTACACTGAAACAGTTTTGTGAAGAGGAGTGGTCCAAAATGACTCCAGATCGTTGTGCAGGTCTGATCTGCAACTACAGGAAACGTTTGGTTGAGGTTATTGCTGCCAAAGGAGGGTCAACCAGTTATTAAGTCCAAAGGTTCACATACTTTTTCCTCCCTGCACTGTGAATGTTTACATGTTATGTGCAATTAAACCATGGCAACATCTAATGTTTGTGTAGTATTATGTTCAGCAGACTGTGTTCTTCTTGTTGTGACTTAGATGACGTTCAGAGCACATTTTATGCCCAATTCATGCAAAACTCCACGTAATCCCAAAGGGTTCACATACTTTTTCTTGCAACTATATATATATATATATATATATATATATAAAAAAATCACAGTTTGACCCTTTTTTCCAAAATGCAGACTACCACAATGCATGGTATGCGTGTTATGGTGTACTGTGCTCTACTATATACAATGTGTTAGGGTGCCATTCACAATGATCAGCACAGATAGCAGGCGAGCTGTCATGTGTTATATCAGTGTGCTAAAACGCATGCATGGAGCGTTGCCATAATGTACAAATGTAAATGGTCCTGCTGGAATACCAGTCGAGAGAAACGTGGAGATCACCACGCTGACTTCTTCAGAAGGTGCAGGTTACCTGGCCATTATTCTGAATCTCTAGTTATTAGTCACAACAGATTTATTTAAACATACTTTGGCCATGCAGGTCAAAGAAGAAGGTTTTTTTTAATCTCCCTTCCCCAGAACAAAATAGCCAGCAGATGACATTCTTCTACTCATGGCACTCAGTATGGATGGGGGAAATCAATGGATCTCACTCTTTCAGCCCCACAGAACATATGTTACTGCTCTGATGTACGTTACAAAGTATTATTGTACAATATATTTATTATTATTATTATTATACAGTATTTATAAAGCGCCAATAGTTCACTCAGCGCTGTACATTACGTATGCAAGCAGATCACACAACAACCCAGTCCACTGTCCAGTGATATAGTTACATTCCTGTAGGTATTCCCTATCTAATCCATCCAACAATAAAGTGACATACTGTAGCTATAAGAGATGAAGTCTAATTACTTTTTTTCTAACTATATTGATAAAAAAGAACTATTTTTGATTTTTTGAGTACAAGTCATGTATGTTGTACTTATTTGTCACTGAGATTACTGATAAAAAGGAGTATAAAGGTTAAAAAAAGTTAAATATTGTCAAAGTTCTGAACTCTGTGACAAAAAGAACAAAAAAAAAAAAAAAAAAACCTCACCAATAGATCTTTTTCTAGGAGCCTATGTTAACACTAATGAGGTGCGGAATTTGCATGGGTTTCTGTGAGATTTCCGCATCGTATCATAATCGTACCCTGTTTATACAAACTGCTGCGGGTGTGTATTTTAAGTAAACACCCCGAATACAGTTCGCAAAATGCGCTGCGATGTGTAAATACTCATGCAATCCGATTCTAGCGCAGACAAAAAAAGGTTCCTGCACAAAATGTATGGCTCAAATTGCACCGCACAGAAACTGCATGCGATTTGCACAGGAATGCAGTGGGCTTCCTGTGCAAATCACATGCGATGTGCTGCACCGCATCAGTGTGAACCCGAAGTGAAACAGTAAAAATTAGATTTTTTTTTTGTTTCTTTCCTTACACACCAGTTTTGGCAAAACTCGCTTTTTAAGCCTCTTGCACAGGGGTGAAAAACACAGCTTGTTTCTGAGTGCTGTAATTTACCTGCATACATGTTCATGCAAATATATACATGCGCATATGCTTAAACTACAGCTAGAAGAGGATGAAGAAGGATTTTACATGTGTGTATGTATACATATTAGCGCACACATATGCAAGGTCCTTATGTACATGACATGTTTTCACTCAGGATCTTTCTGCCACCAAGATCCTGCATAGAAACATCAGTAAAGGATTAAGTCCATATGAAAGAGGCCTAAATAATCAAGGATGTCACTGCTGTGAACACAGGCGTGGATAGGCATCTTCTGGCTTGTCAGTCAAGCAACACAATTACAGTGGGTGGTTCAGATTGGGAGTCTAAGACTCCCAGGTCCTCCAACAACAGTGATCAACAGCATAATTCTATCACCACTCACTGAAAGTGAACTACACAGGGGGGCCAGGGAATAGATGGCAAAGCGGTCATTGGTCTTACAATATGGAAACTCAAGTTACATGTTGATTGCTCAGCGCCTATAGATCTATCGTTAAAATTTTTATATTACATGGCTCTCCCCTGTGACAAACTACTTGTTTTCTTCTTTAAAAGCCTTTAAGGTTACTATTTCAGATTTACAGAGGAGGTATGGTGCCTATGATCTGCCGTTCGTGGTGATACCTCACATGTGGGTTGATCACGGTTTGCAGAACTGGCGCGCGCATTTACCTTTGTACGTGAGGATGGGGGCACTTTAAATTTTTTTATTTTTACACTGTTGCTTTAATTTTTTTAAATCACTTTTATTGTTGTGCCAGCAATAGGCACATAACAGGTACTCTTTAGGGAGAGATCTGGGGTCTATAACACCCAAAATACCCCTGTGCACATAAAAGCATTCAAAACACCAAGATCAGTGTTTTTCAATGCTTTTATTTTTAAATGGCGCCATTTACTTCTGAGAAAACTGGAAGTGATGTCAGGTCATTGCTTTCAGTTTACTACAATGGAGAGCCGGTCAAAACGGAGAGCCACTTAAAGACCAGCGATGTAGCGGTACATTGCTGGTTTAAAAGGGTGATATCTCAGTCATCACTGCAGCCGTTGATTCCCTTCCATATAACAGTAATCCTAGCAGAAACTACTGCATTATTTTTTACACCACCTTTACTGGGCTCTCCCCAGAGATTGGAAAGCCTAGTAAGGATGCCACTTGGCACCATCGGCTTCACCAACACAGTGAGACTGATCTTCTTCCACCCACTGGGTGAGGCAGGAAACTGAAAGTGACGGGGATTTCAGCACTTATGGTTTCAGTTCCTTCGTTTACAAGTCATTGGCAGGTTTATGTAGCAGCACATCAAACCAATCTTGGTTTTATCTGCTGCTTTGGAGGCCAGAGGAGAGATCTGGGGTCTAGAAGACCCCAGATCTCTCCATAAAGAGGATCTGTCATGGCCAATGCTATCAAAAAGGATGTTGTTTATCTATTGTGATAGCAATAAAAGTGATCCACAAAAATGTGAAGGTACAGTGTAAAAATAGA